GCCCGCGGGGTGACCGGTGGGCGGAGCCAGCCTCTCCGGGAGGAACAACAGTCTGAGGACAGATAGGCTGCCCCGCCCCTCCCGTCCCAAGGAGGCGATAATGGCGTGGGGGACAGAGATAGAAAGGAGGGTGAAAAAGGAAGTGGGGAGGGAGTCCGATTCTTCCAGGTCATCGGGACACCTCTCCCTTTCCAGAATCACACTCGGACCACAGTTGAGCTCGTAACTGCTCCCTAATTGGTCAGAGGTTGGGAGTGGAGGAAACTGCTGTTAGCCCGCCAGGCTGCTGCTGCTGGGAGGGAAAGGTTTAAATCTATTATTTAACTATCCAATGCCCACGGGAGGTAAAGACCCCTGCCCCAGGAAGCCCCAAGGACTATATCAGAAGGGATGCTGGGCACCCTCTGGCGACAGAAAGGGCACCCGAGATCAAGCGGGTTTAATGAATTCATCAATGGCAGAGCCAAATTAAACCTCAGGAGTGTGTAAGGAAGGAAGAGGCTCACGGGATGTTAATGTGAGCCTCCACAACTTTTACAACGTGCTCACCCTGGGTAGGGAGGAGTCTGGTTTTGGGTGTGGGGGACTGCACCCCTTCCCCCCCAGCAAACAACAGATGCCCGAAACCCACCTTATCTGGTGCTGGAGACCCTCTCGGGGCCAAGGCATGGCAGCCAGAAGGAGCCAAGAGCTTCATGCTGGTTACTTAACCAAACAGCTTTCCTGGCTCAGGGGCAGTGATGCCAGCAGACAGCTGGCACAGGAGGGAGCCCAAAATAACCCAGACAGCTGGGGCGAGGGGGTGCCATGGACACAGGCTCTGGGCTAGAAGTCAAGACACCTGGAACCCCATCCTGGCTGTCGGTGATGACCTTGCATGCGTCACTTCTACACTCCGGGTGGGGGGGACCCCAATTCATGACCCATCGTGAACAGCCTGTGGAGCCAGGGGAAGGCCACCATCCCAACTCACATACTGGAGGAAAAATGGTGCTGGCTCCAGGCCTGCAGAAAGTCAGTCTTTCCCTTTGCCCTGAGGCTTTGCCACGTGCTTGGGGGTGGGTGAGTGGGGAGGAGCTCACAGACAGCCCAGCCCCCATTCCCAGCAACCACATCACAATGGAAGCCAACTAGTGTGAAGCCTGAACGAGAGGCCAGCCCCCTTAATCGCACTTAATCCTCCCTCCACCCTTTGCAGCAGGCATCATTATCATCACTTTACACGGGAGACTCGCCCAAGGTCACAAACACGGAGAGTCAAGCCCACAGCTGCCGGCCTTTGAGCCTCCCTTGATTAAGCACCAAGACGCCCCCAACAAAATCTCTGGGTCAAGCCCTACAACTCCCCCAATCGTGTTTAGCCCCCACATTGAAGGATGGAGTAGAAGTGAGCAAGGCTGATCAGACCCAGAATCCAAGCCTGGGCCCAAACAGGGAGACAGTGAATTCAGGGGCACCTGGACCCAAATGGTTCATCAAAGTAATCACAAACTAGAGGTCACATGGGGGAGGGGTCAGAGATCAAGGGTCATACCATCTCCAGCTGTGGAGCTTCCCGGAGATAAAGAGGATTGGAAACTGTGGGTGGTCAGCTTGTGTTAAGAGAATAAGGAAAGAGCTGTCATTACTACCAAGCCGAAGACTGCACCAAGCAATGAGTTCAGGGCTTGAAGTTCCCAAGCTCCTGTCCTCACAACACCCATGTGATTCAGATGCACACTCAAATTTGAGACTCACTGACCCATTTGTGTGGATGGGGAAACTGGGGCTCAGAGACTGTGCAGCTTATGCAAGGTCATAGCAGATAAAATGGCTAACCAGGTTTCAAATCTGAGCTTGTCCAATTAAAGAAACAGGGCTTTTTTTTGGGGGGGGTGCAAGGGGTGGGAGAGAGTAGGCATGAGGTGGAATCATGGCAATTCCCTGGAAGGGGAAGAGTCAAGAAACATCTTTCTTAGAGGAAGCTGGCCCGACTCTCAGGTCCCTCTGTTCTTCACCTCCCTAGCAGCCAGAAATCAGGGGAAGAGGCCAGCTCATACAGTCACCCCACATGCCCCCACTGGGGGCCGGAAGGGAGGGCCAGTACTCTGCCGGGTTTCCTAGCAGCCGGCTGTGCCTTTCAGAAGAGGCATCCAGGGCCCTCCCCCCACTACAAAACACACAACTGGGAAATACTTGCAAGTGCAGCCTCTCCTATGCTGCTAAATACGGCAAAGAATTGCACGCCCCAAACTCCTAACAGAAGCTGACAGGCGGGATGGATGGACCAAGAGGGCTCAGCAGGCAGCCGATTTCACACACACAGTCCCACGTATCTGTGGGGGGGAGGGGCTGCAGAACCAGACTAGCGGGTTTGGGGTGCCCGCCCTCCCTGGGCTCCAGGCCAAAGCCCCCCAAATCTCCTTCGCAGACTGGGAAAGGGCTCACACCTACCTTAAGGGGTGGATTGTCAGAGTCAAATTAGGCCTGCTTCTGCTGTACAAAGGCAAACAGTCCACTCTGGCGTACCGGACCCCTTCGCTGGTTAAGAGCCTAGGGGGGAGAAATCGGAGAGTTTTTTAGGGAGTCGATGAGCACAGACAGGTCAGGGGATCCTAGAGGGAAGGGGAGCCTTACAAATGCCGCCCCCACTTCCCAGCTGCCAAGGCGCCCTCATTCTAGAATGGATAAGGGAGAGGGGGGTGGCTGAGTCACCAAGGTTCAGCCGGGGCGCGGAGCAGCAGGAGGCGATCATCTGCATTTCCAAAGGCCCGCCCCATCCCCTCCCCCAGGAAGGCCGGAGATGTGAGGGTTTACCCTAGAGCCCTCCGCCTCGGGGGATCCCGGGTACGGCCCGCCCGGCTTTCCCAGGCCCCAACCCCCTACCCCAGCCTCTCAGAGCTGGGCTGGCGGCTGTGCCTGTATGACCACAACGGGACGTCGGTGGCCTCCGTGAGGGCTTCATGCCCAAAGTGGGGACAAAAGGGGCCCCAATCCCTCGGGCTCGGCTATCAAAGGGCGGTTGGGAGCCAAACGTGGGCGCCGAGGCCAGAGTGGGCAGCGGGAACGGCCTCAGGTCAGGGCCGGGCCGCGAGGAAGAACTCCAGGGCCTCTGGAAGAGCAGGTCGGGGTCAGGGGGGCAGCCACGAGCCCCATGGCCCTTTGCTACTGGCTCCCGCGCGGGAGGGAGGAGAGACACCGCGGCCCGGCCCGGCCCGGGAGCGAGGACTTCTCGTGCCCGCCGGGCCCCCCCTA